GTCATCTACAAATAGAGAAAACTATTACTTCTACCTTTTAAATTCTGATATTTTTTTTCCTTATCTAATTGCCCTAGCAAGGACTTCCAATACTATGTTGAATAGGAGTGGTGAGAGTGGACACCCTTGTTTTGCTCCTGATCTTAGAGGAAAATCTTTCTACCTTTCACTGTTGAATATATTAGCTGTGAGTTTGTCACATGCAGATTTCATTATGATGAAATTTGTTTCTTCTATGTCTAATTTGTAAAGAGTTATAATCATGTATATATGTTGAACATTGTCAAATGACTTTTATGTGTCTATTGAAATGATAAAATGATTCTTTTCTTTCATTCTATTAATGTGATGCATCACACTGATTTGCTTATGTTGAACCATCCTTGCATCCCTTGGATAAATCCCACTTGATTTTTTTAATGTGCTGCTGAATTTAGTTTGCTGATATTTTATTAAAAAGTTTTATTAAAAGGTTTATTTTTTCCTGTAGTTTCTTTTCCTGATAGTAATATCAGAATAATGCTTGCCTCATAAAATGAATTTGTGAATGTTCCCTCCTTCCAATTTTTTGGAGGAGTTTGAGAATGATTGGTGTTCATTCTTTTGTAAGTATATGGTAAAATTCATCAATAAAGCCATCTGTTCCTGAGCTTTTCTTAATTGGGAAATTTTTGATTATGGATTCTATGTCCCTACCAGTAATTGGTCTGTTCAAATTTTTTATTTCTTTCTGATTCAGACTTTTTGAGTGTAGATTTACTTTAATTTATTCTTTCTCTAACACTCTTCCTCTCTTTATATAAATCCAAGTTTCTGACCTATATCATTTTCCTTCTCTCTGAAGACCTTTTAATATTTTTACAGGGCAGATTAATTGGTACAGTTACAAATTTCCTCAAATTTTGCTTGACTGCAAATAGTTTTATTTCTTCTTTACTTTTAAAAATAAATTTCACTGGATACAAAATTTTAAGTTGGTGGGTATTTTTTCTTTTAACATTAAATATTTCATATCACTCTATTCTTGCTTATCTGGTTTCTGAAGATAAGTACAATGTAATTCTTATCTTTGTTCCTGTATGGATAAGGAAGTGTGTGTTTTTTTCTGTCTTCTTTCAAGATATTTTCCTTGTTTTTGGTTTTCCAGTTTGACTATAACCTATCTAGTTATCATCTATCTATCTATCTATATCTATCTATCATCTATCTATCATCTATCTATCTATCATCTATCTATCATCATCTATCTATCATCTACCATCTATCATCTATCTATCATCTATCATCTATCTATCATTTATCTATTATCTATCATCTATCATCTATCTATCATCTCTCTATCTATCATCTATCTATCATCTATCTATCTATCTATCATCTATCTATCTATCTATCATCTATCTATCTATATCATCTATCTATATCTATCTATCTATCATCTATCTATCTATCATC